TCATCCATCGCTATTCCATCATGCCAAAGTCGTTTTTAGTCAAGAATTCTGCTCACGGTAGCGCTAAAAGAATCAATCGTAAACAAGGCGAAAACGGTAAGTTGATTTTGCTTAGATGCGGTAGTGCTAGAAAAATGCAATGGTCCAACAAAAAAAAATAAAACTAACGACGGCGATGATGCAACAACAACTTGCCCATGTCTATCCTCTTCTACACCAATGCATTGGATAGTATAAGAAAATGAGCTATTTTTCAGCGGCATTGTTTGCTTACAGTTAATGAACCCTTTAGTTAACTGTATTGCTGCTTGACATGATGGCAGAAAAAATACCTTTGCCTTGCTTGATGCAGTGTCCTTCCTTGGCAAATACCGTAGTTTATATCTGGCTGTCATCATGGCCAATATTCGCTAGCCATCCTGATGGCTAGCAATGATGAGGATAAGATTCTTGTCTACTTTTGTCGCTGTCATTACTGATTAGTGCATTTCCAAAGCGTCTTGTCTAGCTGGATATAACGGATCCAAATCCGATTTCTTTTCAACCTTGTCATATCGATAAGGGCCGCCTTGATCTGGATTCGCAATGATACCAAGGTGATAGCGATCAACGGTGAATAATTTGACTTTGCCAAGAGATTTGGTGATGATTATAATTTTATTATAGCGATTCATACAAAGTCAATCGTCTCATTGCCATCATCAACCATTTGGAAGCTCTATCCCCATTTTATTTTTCTATCCTTCTACCATCAAGGTATCGCTAGCAACAGGTTTTTTTTTTGGGGGGGGGGGATCACCATTCCTTCGCGTTGAGCGGGTTTCCTCCCTCCTCGACGGGTAGCTACGCTTTTGCACTTTTTTTCCTCCCTCTCTTTTTCTTTGACCGTAATAGCCCGATAGAGAATCAATAACAACATCTATCCAAAGATGAACTGGTTTAAAAACCACTGCGATCCCTACAGTCAAAATAGGAATTGGTCTCGACCGAGTCGATGCAATACCTAATTTTCGGTTCCTTTGAAAAATACTGGCGGTAGTAGTTTTGCAAGGATTATTTTACTCGGAGGTTGCCAACATGGATGAAAATCAATACCTACGGCATGTTTTTTAGCCGATTAAATTGAATTCTCGGTAGTCTTGGTATTTCTATCAACAGTAACCTAAGAGACAAAATAGTCATTTTCTTCACTTGCTCAATCGCTATTTGACAAGAGATGAGATCACTTTCCATGACGTTCTGAATTCTTGGGAGAAATTACCGTTAACGCAGATCGTTATGATCATTATCCACTCTTCCATTTCCAGTCTACTGTATGTAGCGTTGTGATGGGATAGTGTAAACTCTTTGTTTAGTTTGCTTGCTAGCTGTTGTTATTTTTCAATTTCTCCTACTGGATCGTTAAGACACCAGCCCATTTTAGTTGGATCAACGCGTGTGATTAATTCATGAATTATTGAAAGGATGGAGGACAAATCAAGTACGAGTTAACCATCAGTGCATTTGCTATACAGAAAATTGTTGGCCAATGATGGCGTCGGTCGGGATGATTGCAGAGTATTCTTTCTTATCGTCATGACGCTATCCAGCCAATCTCATGGAGGACTATCTATCCTAATGAAATAAGATAGTTAACAGTCTTGATGTAGATACTGTTCTACTTGTGTCTCATCGTCAGGCCCGGACGTTATTTTAGTCAAGACAACAAGAAGGAGAAAAAAATGGCGATTGCCATTTCCTCAATGGATAGTAGTTCGGATACATTAGGAATGGAGAAAGGGATAGCTGTTGTTCATAAGATTCTATAGGATCATCATCAATTTCTATCATCCTACCAGTTTAAACTGACCAAATTGTCAACTTCAGGGTTATGATTAGTTTCTGTATCCTAAGCTTTAACTTACGTTGTCGTCGATTTTAAAAAATAATACGTTCCACAAGCATATTCTTCCAACTACGATCAAGCACACGTCAAAATTTCGAATTTTCCCTTACCTCCTACGTTAAATTTGACCTAAATTTCCAATCGAGGAAAGGTAGTTTTAACGCATGCATTTCATTGGCAGTTTCGGACTAACTACTTTCACCAAATGCTTCAAAAGCGTTGTCTCAAACTAAGTCGCTAAAATTGATCCATATCGATCGATCGAATACTTACCAAAAATTCGAATTTTTCCTTGATTCGTGTGCTTGCTTGGATCTTGTAAACGGATAGGAATCATCCTAACCTACGAAGAGGATGGCTTTAAGAGATGGATTCTTCGACACTTTCGGACTGAATATTTTCACCGGTGATTCCAAAGTATTGCTTTAAACTGAGCAGCGACTACTTTTCCCCCAAAATATCCAATTATCGTTAATGTCTACCTTGAACTAAAATTGACCGTCTTGCAGAGAGGATCAGTATTTCATAGTGGCGTTTTCAATTCTGTTTTATCGCATTCGACTCACTAGTACGCCGCTATTTCGGTTCTACTAGCCTTTCACGGTACTAGAAGATAGCCGCACTTAGCCTAGTTTATAAAGCATTTTTTTCCTTGTCATTTCCTGACTAAAATGAGTAAGAAAATTGGATTTTCCAATCAAGCAAGGGTATTGACAATACTGCACTACATAACTTCTACGAATTTCTCCACGGCGTGGTCTAGACTTGATCCGCAATATTGGGGGTATGCCATTGAAAATCCGAAATGTAAACGCTTTAAATTTTCTGCCTTAGGAAATCAATCACATCAGTAATGTAGATCAAAATGTTAGTATTAATATACTTGCTTGACATGTCAGCTAATTTGGATCAAAGAAGAAGAGTGTCTCCAGCTCTTTTACCATGTTATTGCCCGTTATGGACATGATTTATTCCATTGCCACCATACTCACAATAATAGCTAGTAGAGAGCCTACTCGCCTATCCATCCATGATGTTGGTGCTACAGAAGTTAAGGAGGCAGATTTTATCGCCATTGCCATACTCCTTCCATCTTCAGAAATAATAAAAGTATCCAATATAGAGCGTTCTCGCCTATCCACAAGGATATCTTTCCAACTATTTCGAAATAGCAAAACGTTTCTGATCGATATCCACATATTGCTTATAGATGAATAAAATCGTTGGAAAAGAGATTATCATGTTAAGAATACCTGCCTATACGCTAATAAGGTGTTAGAAGAGGAAAACATGGCAGATTCTGTGTCCATTGCATTGCTGTTATAAATACGTGTCAGCATAACACAAAGTATTAGCACGATGTGATTTAACCAAAGTAACTGCCAGCAGATTATTTTATTTCTCACTAAGCGATGCCATGGTAGAACTGGAATAGCTTTTACTGCTTGTGCTGCTTGGTCACTGTTCATAAACTAAATACTTTGCTTAACATATTGTAGCCGATGCCGAGCCGAAAAAGACTCCCAGTTCAGAGACTGTCAATTCGTCTAAAGGGGATCCTGTCCGGCGAGTAAAAGAAAGTAGAATAGATGAAAATGATCAACTATCCTCCGATAATAACAACACACCCAATACAAGCAAAAGCACTAGCAATAGTCCTGTCCACAATCCTACTGAAGTAAATCCCAGTAACTTGGTCCAGCCACAACCTTACCAGCAGCAAGGCTGGCCATTTTGTTTACCTCCTTCCCTTATCCGCCATGATTTATATCGTCCGCAGCTCAATTTCACAGTTCCTACTGGAATGGCGATCCATCCTACGATCACAACATTAAATCCGCAAATGATGCAATCCATACCCTGTAAGCCATGATCATGCAATCTGATTTTCTTTATTTTGATGCTTTACTGCCTTTAAAATATCGCTCTTGACAGTAGTTGCTCCAAGACCGATTACTCCATGGACTGTCCTCCCCAATAACCTCTATGGACTTCAGACGGGTAAGAATTGGCATCTATCATTTTCTCTAAATAAGCATTATAGGTTAAGACTTTTTTGCATCGCAATTATTCATATCAACCATCTTCAATCTGTTCGATGATAAAAGTACAGTTTTGATCTGCGATAATTTCGTAGAGAATGGATAACTTTCATCTTTCTTCCATTTCAGTCTATTAGATGATAATTATAATAGTACAGTTTTGATTTGTGAAAACAGCGATATTTAAGTAGAATGTGATTTAAATGAAAATCTTGCATAAGTCTTCAATTTCAATCTATTACATGATGATACTACAATTTCAATTTATACAAACTGCGATAGTTTAGTATGATTTCAATGGAAATCTTGCATAAGCCTTCAATCTATTACATGATGATACTACAATTTCAATTTATACAAACTGCGATAGTTTAGTATGATTTCAATGGAAATCTTGCGTAAGTCTTCAATTTCAATTTATAAAAACTGCGATAATAAATAGAGGGTGATTTAAATCAAAATCTTGAATAACCTCTTCAATTTCAATCGATTCGATGATAATACTACAATTTCAATTTATAAAAGCTGCGATAGTTTAGTATGATTTCAATGGAAATCTTGCGTAAGTCTTCAATTTCAATTTATAAAAACTGCGATAATAAATAGAGGGTGATTTAAATCAAAATCTTGAATAACCTCTTCAATTTCAATCGATTCGATGATAATACTACAATTTCAAGTTGTAAAAACTGCGATAGTGTAGTAGAGTATAGTCTAAATGGAAAGCTGAAATAACTCGGATTTACTTCAATCTCAGTCTGTTCGATGATAATTGCACTATGTTAATTTGTAAATACTGTGATAATTTCGTAGAGTGTGTTATAAATGCAAAATCTTGAATGATTCCTTTTTTTATGGTAAAATAAACTATTGTAGGTAACAATGGATCGGTTGCCCTTCATGGTGCCACAAGAAATGGAAATAACATCTCAATTTGCCATCAGAATGGTATCATTTCTACCGCAAATATTAATTCAACTACAAGTCAGCAACAAAGCAAAACCGTATCTAGTAATGATAAAATTTTAGCGGTTTCAAATCGTACTGTAGCAAATAAAGATGGCCAACTCCAGTGTCATATTTGCCACAAAAGCTATCAATCACCGGTGCAGCTAAAACGTCATCTGAGAAGACATGCAGAAGATAAAAAACACCTATGTCCTTTCTGTAAGAAAGGTTTTAGTGATCAATTCGATTTAAAGCGACATGTCCGTATTCATACCGGAATAAAGCCATTTAGGTGTAAACTTTGCAACCGAGCATTTGCTCAACGATGCTCATTAGAATTACACTGTCAAAAGTCTCATGGTACCGATGTAAGTATCCAAAGTGTGATAAAATCGCTGTCATTGCATTAACTTGAAGGGTCTTTTATCACAAGCTGCTATTTACCTTCAGTTTCTTGCTTGATACAATATCGATTGCATTCTACGTATTATCGATCTGTCTTTTACGTTAATATTGTCAGCTCTATTTACTGAGGAAATAGATCGAAATAGTTGACCAGACTTAATAAGTTACTAAATGAAGATTTTAAAATTTTTCCTGTACGGATTATTTTCTATGATTGTCTACCTTAGGCTCAATATAAATTCCGAGAAAGACGAGAAAAAGTTTATGTATGCGAAACTTGTGGTTTTACTGCTAAGGAAATTCAACCTTATCATGAACATCTTTTGTCTCACAAAGGAGATCCTAGCGTTATCTTTCAACCTAAATTTTTAAAGCAATAGAGCTCTATATTTCGATAATTGACCTACTGTAGTATTCCTTTATTACTATAACATTTTATCTCTGCCCTTACGATAGTCAAATGATTTGAACTATTCTAAGATCTTAGTCTATCTTTTGAAATAATAATTATATAAACTGTACGATAGCTTCTTCACTTCTGTTAATAATGGTTTTGCGCTGCTGTGATTATTACCTATCCTTTAACTTATTAGTCATGATCTTGGCTCTTACTGTGCTGTGCTGTGCTGTAGGTAATTATAACGATACCATTTCGAGCATATTCGGACATTGTTTGTATGCGTTAAGCGTTAGTCTTGATATCATATCTGTCTAACTCTTTTATCATATTATCGTGTCGTTTTTCCTTCTCTAAAGCTTGATTGGATCATGGATGTACGCCGATTATGGTCAAATAGTACTATGTCTTTGCGTAATAAAGTCTTAACCCAGCAAAGAGTTTTGTTATTGGAGGTGTCGTTTGACTGATGGCAGATACAGACTATTGGTAATCGTTACACCTTAGCATCTCCCCCAAAATTATCGATCAACAATGTTAAACCGGTTTGAAATTGGTGATTATCATTCTCTCTCCTAGCCAACTTTAGTCAAAAGTTATTACGCATTAAACTGTGTTTATGGTGTTGATTTAGCTGTCACTATCCATGCATTTATGGCGTGTATCTCGTCTAAAATTAGAGTTTCTTAGTCGTGGCATGGGGTACCTCGTTGCACCTTAGTATTTCCAAAAAACTATCGATCAACCATGCTAAACTGCTTTGAAATTGGTGATTATCTTCCTCTATCCTAGCCAACTTTAGTCAAAATATTGTTATGTGTTATACTGTGCTTGTGGTGTTGATTTAGCTGTAACTATCCATGCATTTATCGCGTCCTCATTGCACCTTGGCATTTGGTGATCATCATTCTCTATCCTAGCCAACTCTAGTTAAAGTATAATTATGTGTTCTACAGTGCTCATGGTGTTGATTTAGCTGTCACTATCCATTCATTTATTGCGTCTATCTCGTCTAAAATTTGGAATTTCTTAGTCGTGACATGGGGTACCTCGTTGCACCGTAGTATTTCCCCCCCCCCCCCCAAACTATCGATCAACCATGCTAAACTGCTTTGAAATTGATGATCATTGTTATGTTTAATTGATTCCCTATTAGGGATTATTACTGGTTCACCATTTTAGGGATAATTACTGTCGTGAGATTCTGTTTTAAAACATATTTACTGTTGTCGTGGTTTCATTTACTTACCTTGCAAATGTAGAGTATCGATGTATTATTCACTGTAATGGTATAAAAAGGAGATACGATCGAGAAAAAAGGGGAGACTTGGGCTTATGTTAAATTTGAATAAGTCATTAAGTTGCTTGTTGGCAATTTGTTATTTGTTGTTACTGATGGGGCACCTCGTTGCACCTTAGTATTTCCCCCCCCCCCAAAAAAAATTATCGATCAACTAAACTGCTTTAAAATTGGTCATCATCATTCTCTATCTTAGCCAACTGTAGTCAAAATATTGTTATGTGTTCTACTGTGCTCATGGTGTTGATTTAGCTGCCACTATTCATGCATTTATTGCTTCCATCTCGTCCAAAATTGGAGTTTCTTTAATGGTGGCATAGGGGTACCTCGATGAGCAGAGTAGCTTAGCTCGGTTTATTATTCAGACAGACGGACCGAGTGGCTTGGACTTCTCATCTAGTACTATTAGACAGCCATACAAGTGTTGGCAGTTTATTTTCTGTCGGTCTGTCTACTATTGATAATAGACTGATTTGAGTAGTACAATCTCTCGATGTTGTAAGTGGATGAGATCGATCACTGCGTCAACAAGTTGGAGGAGGAAAGGCAACTAAGTCAGCCATTCCTGATGTTGGTCAAAGTAGCCATAGCTTAAAGCATATCTGCCGAGGGTTTTTTTCACTGATTTCAGTAAAAAAAATCATCCAGTGTTATGGGCAAACGAGATAAACGAATTGTAAGTTGAAGCTTGAAAATTGAATAGAATAGAATAGGCAAGTTGATGAGTTGCATGCATGGATGAGGCAGAGCATTGGATTTTTTGATACACTTTTTGTGTCGTTAAGGTGGTCAAAATATCAGGAGCGATCTGATCGTCATCACTCTTGATAGCTTAAATTATAATATCAATGTAGAGTGGATTACAGAATAATAAAAAATCATGGTATAGATGCTATACAAGACAGGATGTCGTGAAGACCATGATTAGCATTGGATTTTTGCATACACTTTTTGTGTCGTTAAGGTGGTCAAAATATCAGGAACGATCTGATCGTGATCACTCTTGATAGCTTAAATTATAATATCAATGTAGAGTGGATTACAAAATAATAAAAAATCATGGTATAGATGCTATACAAGACAGGATGTCGTGAAGACCATGATTAGCATTGGATTTTTGCATACACTTTTTGTGTCGTTAAGGTGGTCAAAATATCAGGAACGATCTGATCGTCATCACTCTTGATAGCTTAAATTATAATATCAATGTAGAGTGGATTACAAAATAATAAAAAATCATGGTATAGATGCTATAAAAGACAGGATGTCCTGAAGAACATTATTAAATCGATAGATCTCGTATGTAATTCATAACATAGTACTAGTTAATAAAGTACGTAACCGTTATGGTAGAAGTCATGATGATATACCATTGCACTGTATATCTATTAATGCAAAGTTCAAACGTAGCACAGTCGATGACCATGTTAAGATACAGCACTGTAGCCTAACATGGCATTAGAAAGATAAATAGATGCTTCAAAGATAACGTACAGTATAGCCGATTACAAAGGAATAGGAATTTGTGGTATAGAACATAAAATAGACAGAATAACGTTATTAAGATCAAGGATTTTAATTCAAGTATACTACAGTTATGATATAACTAATGGTGATGCTAGTTGAAACGTAATGCTATCACCATGTTAAGATGCAGCACTGTAGCTTAATAGGGTAGTAGAAAGACGAAGAAAATGTGCTTACACAACGTAGAAAGGTGTATTCAACGTATAGCCATGAGTCGGATAGTACTGTATTTTGGTGCTCAATTACTTCAATAAAGCTATATGCACACCAAAAATATCAGCAAGGGTCGGATCGCCACAATTCTAGATAGCTTAAAGTATAATATCAACCTCTTGTGGATTAGGATTATAAATGGACAGGAAATTATGGTATAGAATACAATGTGATGATTAGACGTTCTTAGTCTATTTGAAAGCTGTAATCATGACCTTTAAATTATTCTTTGGGCGTATCGCTATGGTGATAATATGTGTTGTTGACTTGACGATTAATTATCCGACTAGAGTTTACTAACTTAGCTTGCATAGGGATAAGATTGGATGATATACATTTCAATAACTTTAAACATTATCGGTGCAGGCATGGGTCAATCCGATAGCTGCAGCTCGTTCCAGTGCAGCGCCTCCATCTGGACCTACTATCCGGGACTATTTGAACAGACCGAGGCCTACCTGGTAAGTAGGTTTGCGAAAAGTTTCAATATTAACTATTGAAACGTAAAAATAGTTAAGGGCTACGTAAATGCTAGCAATGCTGCCAAACTGTGCATTTGGACTGTTTGACTATGTTACTCTTTTAATCTGCATTTCCGTATCAATTCTTAATTCTCAATCCAATTTTAACGATGGTGTCAGTCAATTGCAAACTAAAATGAAGTTCTTCATTGATATTGACATGTATTAAATTATCATAATACTAAGGCGTAATTTATTGGCTTGTTAGGGACGAAGTAAAAGAGAAGCTGGGTAAGAGTAAGGAAGGTTCACATTCTCTAGCTGATTGGGAGAAACAACAGGAAGAGGTGCGGTATGAGATACTTATGATTACCCCCATTTATATCACCAGAATTTACTCGAATACCAACTTCCAATCATTTTTATAATTATTTATTCTATGCTAACCTGTATTTACCTGACTCAATTGATACTTTCTTTTCGCTAAACTATTCTGAATTAATTAATGATTGAGGTAGAATGATAAATTGCTTATAACTTCTCAGTTTAGTAACTTACACTATAAGACTTTATGAGACTACCTACAGTATAGCTTGACCATAATAATGAAGTCCATGCTTTGTGCGATGCTTCATATTTTGTATTACAATCAGTTAAGTATTTATGCAACTGGGTAGAAATTTTTTGTTATTACTGCATTTGTTTGTTCTGAAATAACGAAATGCGATGCTTTCTTGATGATGATAGAATTATAAGGAAGATCTCAGGAGACATCGAGAAGAAGTTTTAGGTAAAAGTAAGAAATCAAAGAAAAAGAAGGTATGTAATGCTATCGAATAGTCTTTGTGAAATAAGATCCGTTGCAAATTAACTTCCTTGTAAGAAGCTATGTGTAAGAAGTTATGTACTTACCTACAAGTACTAATTTTTAAAACTTAACGTTATAGAAACATTAAATGCTTCCTACTGCTATAACAGTATAGTGGCCATGAACAGTTAGCTTTCTTCATAATTATTATAGTAAATCGTTGGAGTCAATTATAAACATTTTTAGGTAAAGTTAGAGTACGTTCTAAAAAAACACCGAGATTGCGTAATACAATTTGTTCACGCGACATTATAGCGATATAAACTACTGATCACAACATGAACAGTCTGATTATAGGAATTGTACGGCGTATTTGTTGGCAAGTATTTGGAGTACATTATGTTCTGTAATATAGGAATGGAATGATTAATGAAGTTGTAGCCACATTGCATGGAATGTAATCTTAGAATGTAGCATGACAGAGTTGTGATCTATATCGACAGTTCGTCTATGTTGCTGCAGATAGCTTGCTCGATACCGTACAACAAGCACCTGTGTTAAATTTGAATGACCACATAGCATTTTCCTTTGCAGAGCTAATATTATTTTATTATAAATATTTGAATAGAAAAAGAAAAAGTCCAAATATAAGAGAAAAGAGGTTCCGAAATTCATATTAATGATACTGTGTCCATAAGTTAAAAAATAATAGTTGAAAATTTCTATTCTTATGCCTATGTAACATTTGAATCTTTCTTACATAAATTACCTATCACATTCATAAGGTATCATCATCTTCTCAAGATTCTGATTCTGATCCTGATTCATGTGATTCTTTTGGAAGGGATAAAAAGGTAATTTGAAGTGCTGTTCTACTGTCGATTGCGTACTCTCATGTTACATTCAATTTAGTAAATACCTTGGTCATGCATTACAATTATAGCTCAGAACGAAGAGAAAACGAGAAGAGAACACGTCATCATCAGATAGTAATGATTCTGATGGTAGTTATTTACGTTCTGTAAGCTACCATTTCTGAAATTTTAAAGTTTATCTGCCACTTATTTATATTTATGTACATGTTTATCAATTACTTTAAAGAAAAAGAAAAAGAAAAAGAAGAAAAAGACTAAAAAATATAAATAGCGTACGGAAGATGAGCTGCAGAATTGACGCGCATATTATTAATGAGACCAAATTTAGATATATCTTTCATCATTTAACTTGCTTTACTGTTGCAACAGTCAACAATATTTTAACATACTACAAACCTCATATAGATTATCTAATGTTGCTACACCGAAGATATAATTTTTATATTATGACTATTAGTTTATTACAGTGATCTAGTATGTTTCATATCTTCTTTTCTCTATTTACTGTACGAATATGTACTACTAAAGTAGTATAGTATCCCTTAGCCTGATATAAATTGTAACTTTAATAGGTATTAAATATATCGCCAAGTACTGAATTGCTGGGAACTATTTGAGGATTGTGAATATCTAAATTTCCCAGCTAGTAAAGCTATTTATTGTTGCGTACAAAATTACTGAGTTCCAGTTTATCAAGTATGATATTAGTCATTCTATTTACGACTATTTTTTCGATTATGCAGACTTTTTTTGTATTTAGTATCCCAGGAGCCATTTTATTTGCAAATATTGGCCGAATAAGTAATAGTTTTGAATTCTACAATTCATACATAGATAGCGAACTGATACATTTATGATATTGATTATACTGCTCTTTCCTAGACGAAACGTGAGATTTAATCCATTCACGACTTAGGTTTTTAGAATAGTTAAGGAAATTAATTACTCCAGTATAGGACACTATATTGCGAAGTAAACTAGACAATACGAAATTATCATGATGACGTTGTAAGGGTACAGTAGCCTCTTTTTTTTTATTATAATACCGAATTTTTCTAGGGCAATTAATTAGCAAGTAAACTAGAAAACGACCTATGCAGTAAATTTAGGCTGAAAATGTAAATCTAGCAAAGTATTTATCAAGATTAAATACAATAAAAAGACGTATTATTGTACATTTTAGCAAGTGCTTACTGCGGCAAATGGAGAAGTGAGGTCATTTATGACCCGATGATGGAAAGCTAGAGGGATCATTTTCAGTTCTATATTTTAATTTCGTGGTATTACAATCTATAATTGTTACCTATTTAAGTTATAGCGATCAGATTGATGCATATGCGATGTTGGAATCGAAAGATACACAAACAGGATTTTAACCTATTTAAGTTATAGGGAATAAATTCATGCATACGCGATATTGGAATCGAAGAGTATTACAAACAGGATTTTAACCTATTTAAGTTATAGCATATAAATTTATGCATACGCGATGTTAAAATCGAAGAATATTACAAACAGGATTTTAAACACATTTATTTTATTGATGAAGTATTTATATCGCGATTTGCTATGATGATCTTGAACATTTCCGCTTTTTAGGTTGCTATAAAATTGAGTCTCTAGCACGCTAGGTAACAAATCGTAATGAAATTATCTTTACTACTATGCGGATAATCAGGAATCATTTGAATACTCTGTTAAAAATAAATTACTATCAATGTTTAATTATATAAGCTCATTAGTCAGTGACACGGCAACTTTATCATGCAAAATTCACTTCGGAATTTTTAATAAATAAGGTTTATACATGGACTATTGGTACTAGAAGAAACCTACTATAATCTCTTTCGAGGCAGTTTGTATATTTAGATAACCTAAAGACCATACGCAGAAACGTTACAAAGAATTTTTGAATCAACCCCAAACTAATGATACTTACATTTAAGTTGCATGCAACTTTTTCTAGCTTACATGAAGGTTATGTAGGTTGATTATTATATAATATGCAAATTCGAAAGTACAAGGTCACTGGCTGCACAACTATCTTATCCTGTCTTGCATTGGTAATAATATAGACAAAGAGGTAAGAAATAAAGACGTCCAAGGCCTTCGCTTTCAAATACAGTTTAACACTGACCTAGCCAAGAAGGATGCAATATCTATGTTAGTATCATTATTTTAATTAATGGTCACTTTTCATATACGCAAACACGTATAGCAATAATTATATCGGATGTGAATAAGTATAGGAATTTTATGGATAGTGCTATATTTGATACAGTACTGTAGAGTTCTCGCATGCGTTCGTTTAATGCAAATGTAATAATGCGTCTCACATTAACTGCCTTAGTCAAATGAAATTTCTAAAAGGCTGTTTTTGCTAGGTTTTAGGAATAGTAGAGCAATAATTAATTACTGCAAGAATCTAGTCTAAAATCGAAAGTATTCCGAGCTCAAAGCGAATTGAAGTCTCTTCTCCCCGTGAGCTTATCTCTACAGTTCTTATATATACATTTAGTTCAATCCATTTATGACAACTTGATTCATCTACAATCAGACATGAGTCATCAAACAAAATACTTAGCTCAAATAGTACATCATTATTTTCTACAATCTAAATCATTCTACTTAGATGTCACTACTCTTCTATTAACATCTAGCCCCTTTCTCCGATCGGCATCTTAACGGCTACAGTGTTTCTAGCCACATAAATCTTGTACCATAATTAGTGCACTGGCTACTATTAGTCATCAACAATTTCTAATATAGTAGTTAGCAATCATCTCATATTAGCTTGACGATAATATCTATTCAAAGTAACCGAACTATATCAAATATAGCTATCCGTATAATCAAATATGGGTGCATCACTACAGTAAAATATCTAGAATGAACTTGAGTAATTGCAATCCTATTGTCCACTTGTTTAGAAGTGCGAGTATAATGCGATAACTGTTCCCGTGCAGAAAATGTGATAATATCGCTATACAGTCGAGAATCGAGGTTTGATAGTTTAATGGATAGGGGCCAAGGTTAATCGCTCCACAGTTATTAATTGACTGAGTACATAACTTGTCAATATATTGCAAATTTAAATCACATCCAAGTCGATCTCACAAAGGTAAAAAGGATATATCTCGAATATCGAGGATCTCAGTGATTAGCTAACACTGTAAATTGGTAGTCTTGTACTGTACGTGTTATATTGTCATATATACAGTACTGTCTACTGTTATATTGATATGCAATTAAGGATATACGCGAAAAGGATAATTATACAGTAAATTATTACTGGGCGTTACATTTCGGGCGATAAAACTCTCGCTTGTATTCTTTTATTAATATCGCTTAGCAAGGTATACAAGTAGAAATATACATACGTGTAGACTCTGTAGAGTAATCGAAACGATTGCAATTGTATTTGCAATGTATGCTTGTAGAAATCATATCCTATCTGCTTCCGTTAACGCATACAGACCTTCTAATATCCCTATACGGTCTATGGAACAAAGTTTGATGTGATCGTATCATCTAGTAGACTAGGAATGTGCGTTGTCAACAGATGGTAAATAGCACAGAAATAAAAGGAGAAGCTGGATACATCTCATTCTTAACTATTATACTGCGAAGAGTACTTTCGCTGTGCTCGTTATCGTCTTAGGTACTTCCATCAAGTCTCTTCCATGGTTTTATATTACATTATTACAGATCGCGATGATGTCGTACGCTAGGCTACGGCTTACTTCATATTGGCCTGCATTAGTACGTTTAATTCAATGATGAGAGATTTTATATCATGATATCAATCTACTCCGATAATGTTTTAATTCAGGATGTCGTTGTTTGAGCGGGCATACTGTATTTACTAGTACTAATTGTATTATTAGTAATTATTACTCCACGAGTAACGTTATCTAATTTTAGCTTTGTATAAGATAGAGCCAAGTCGCAGTTTTAATTTAGGATGTCGCAGTTTTAATTCAGGATGTCGTTGTTTGAGCAGGCATACTGTATTTAGTAGTACTAATTGTATTATTATGAATTATTACTCAACGAGTAACGTTATCCTATTTTAGCTTTGTATAAGGTAGAGCCAAGTCGCAGTTTTAATTTAGGATGTCGTTGTTTGAGCCGGCATACTGTATTTAGCAGTACTAATTGTATTATTATGAATTATTACTCAACGAGTAACGTTATCCTATTTTAACTTTGTATAAGATAGAGCCAAGTCGCAGTTTTAATTTACCCAAGTTTACTTTAAAAAGACTACTAGAAGTGACTGGAATAATACAATGCGGTAGTCCAAGGCATTGCAGTGGACTATGGTAGAGCCATTTTGTATTAACTGGCCACTTTAATAAACTGCCTTTTACTGTTGAACAATTAATCCGTGTCAACAATACATACTCCGACTACGTCATCTTATGCAATCACTTTAGTTGAAGAATATGTGGAATCATTTGGACGCAACCAATGTATTTAACAGTCCTAACCACACAATAGGGCAAAGAACAGCAAACAACAGTCATTTTTCGTTTCATCAGGCTGTTGTTTATTCTGCTATTGACTATTTTTATGTACTGTATGTTGATGGAGTGGCTAGAGAAGTATTTGCCGTGTAGACAACCATATTGATGAGTAATGCTGTTCTACTGGCGCATCATTACTGTCCATCAAGAAAGAGTAAAGTAGGATTAGAAGAGTATTGCTGACTAGGACTCCATGAGTAACGCGCCTACAAGAGAGGAATATACTGTAGCTTGTGTAGTGTGTCCCCCCAGTCGTTTTGATTTCATTGACGGTCAAAAGTTGCATTGAATTCAGAAAGTAGAAAGGTCCCACGTTAACCTCATGGCTGCATTTTCTTGTTGGAAGGGGCCCGGGGAGGGGAATGGTCAGACTTGACTGTGGACAGTAGGACGACACACAAGTCCAATCCTGTCAGTCTATGCCCTACAAATGGACTGGTAAATCATGATTGCATTTCAGCAACTTTGTCCAATCCAGTTTTTACTATTTGTCAGTCTGCTTGGCGATTTTTGTGATGCTTCTTCCTCCTCCATGTCGGCCCTACTGCTCTTGTAATACTCGCTGTTATGCAGCCATTTGTATAGAAGAGTATGGGCAAACATCAACACAAGACGGTGACAGAGGTAAAAGTCGACTGTCACAACTAGCAAGTGAAGCTTTCAATTGACTTCACCCTAGTCGCCTTCAGGCAGGCAGTGAAGAGAATGGAGTTCGTGGTAAAACTTGTTTGTAACGGAGTTGTTTTTTTCTCCTGATTGGTGCAAAAAGTTTGACGTCATGGTTGCGTAGCAACAGGTGTGCTTCACGTGAACCGTCAACCCGCCTCGTTCTCCTTTTGCCGTCATACTGTATCATCGCTAGCGCGTCTTATCCACTGTATGAGGAGAATGACAGCGTAGAATACATTCAAGTCAGACTGTATCATCTTGCACGTCTTTGACTGACTCATTATTTGCTAAAATCATTTTGACTTTGTAACGCTGAAAGAAAGGAAAAAAAAAATCCTCAATCAGCGAAAATTGGCTTATGTTAGCCACCAATTGATGCAAATTCAACCTTGAAATCGACTTAAAGTAGAAATTCACTAGTCTACTTTGCTACTTTTCAAATATTCAACTTGCTTTCATCTTGCAAGTGATATCGACGTCTAATCAAGCGCAGTATCGGAGTTTTGGTAAGTACTTACACGAGATGATCCGACGCTTGTTGAACATTTTTGCGGCTAGTTCATTAGTCAAAGAACGTAGCCAACAATTTTTTGTATAGGGTTCAATTCAATTTTATCCTAGTAGTTTAGCACTTTCAATGTAGATTGTCTATAGTTCATGTCCAATTTGTGTAGAAGAGAGAGAGCGATGGATGTAGACAATGTCACTCATAACATGATCCAAGTGATACGTCTTGATCCATATCTATAGTTATATTGATAACGATAACAACACATTGGTTCAATTCACTTTTTCAAACTCTTCAATTTCTTTTTCCTTTTGACTTAATCCATATTAATCGACTTGAAATAATAATGACATCTGTCGCTTATTGATACAATCTCGATTTCCTTCATTTTTTTCATCCTAGAATACCTTAGATGATCTTCTTGATCTATCGATACTGTAGATATACTGAAATAGCTATTATAACTGGCTATTTCTACATGATGATTGCTAAATAATTGTGATTAATGACCAGATTGAAACATGACTGTAGTTAATGTTGTTGGATAATGATATAGACGTACATATGGAAGTATTCTACAGAATATCTCATTATACGTGTATTACTATCTTATGAAATACATTGGATAAACCACTACGAATTTTCCATTAACAGTATGCTACATTGGTATAATCCAATCGTTAATGCACTTAGCGTAATCGTGAAAATACACTTTATACGAACCAACAATCGTGTAGCATTTCTCTAGCTACTAAACATAAAATTAGTATCTCACAGATTTCATTCGCACATATCTTAATTTACATATCATTACTAATCCCATTGATTTAGTTGTCCTGGTGGCGGATCGGGTAAATTATCATGCCTAGCGGGTACATTTAATGACCAACCTGGACAGACTAACGAGACTGCTTGTCAGGTACACATTTATTTAAACTGAAATCGATGTATCCCTGTTGTAACTTACAGTTGGAAGTCATTTCAATTCGATTTGTTGTACTGTAATAGATTGAAAGTTGTATCAAGCTGTAATTGTAAACAGTATTACTGTATAATTGTCGTGTTGTTGCAAATTTTAGACTTGTCCCACAGGCTTTGTTAGCTTGACACCTGGCCAGAGTAAATGTGAAGCTTGTCCCGCAGGATATTACTGCCTTAATGAGACAGCATCACCATCACCATGTGATATTGGAACTTTTTCTGTTGGCCAACAAACAGCTTGTACTCCATGTCCATTAGGACAGTATTGCCCAACAACAAATATGAATACTACTTATCCCTGCCCAAGTGGTTATTACGCAGATAGTATAAATTCATCTTTATGTACTCAATGCCCAGCTGGTAGTATGTGCTCGAACCCAGCGGCTTCACCTGTTAGTTGCCTAAGCGGTCAATATAGCAGCGCTGGATCAATAACTTGTGAGCTATGTCCAGATGGTTATAACTGTACATCGACCTCAGCAGTATCTCTATGCGACCCTGGATATTATTCAACTTTAGGCGAGGCAGGTTGTACTGCTTGTCCTCTTGGTAATTATTGTCCATCATCTGGAATGAATTTTACTATACCCTGCCCAAGTGGTTATTACGCAGATAGTACAAGTTCATCTTCATGTACTCAATGCCCAGCTGGTAGTGCGTGCTCGAACCCAGCGGCTTCACCTGTTAGTTGCCCAAGCGGTCAATATAGCAGTGACGGATCAATAACTTGTGAACTATGTCCAGCTGGTTATAACTGTACATTAACTTCAGTAATATCTCTATGCGACCCTGGATATTATTCAACTTTAGGCGAGGCAGGTTGTACAGCTTGTCCTCTTGGTAATTATTGTCCATCATCTGGAATGAATTTTACTATACCCTGCCCAAGCGGTTATTACGCAGATAGTACAAGTTCTACTTCATGTACTCAATGCCCAGCTGGTAGTGCGTGCTCGAACTCAGCGGCTTCACCTGTTGGTTGCCCAAGCGGTCAATATAGTAGTGACGGATCAGTAACTTGTGAACTATGTCCAGCTGGTTATAACTGTACATTAACTTCAGTAATATCTCTATGCGACCCTGGATATTATTCAACTTTAGGCGAGGCAGGTTGTACAGCTTGTCCTCTTGGTAATTATTGTCCATCATCTGGAATGAATTTTACTATACCATGCTCAAGTGGTTACTATGCGGATACAGTCGGTTCTAGTAACTGTACAGTCTGTCCAGCAGGAAGTAAATGTCCTGATCCTACTGTTGCTCCTGTACCATGTAATAGTGGATATTACAGCTTGGATAGCTTTGATGTTTGTGTATTATGTCCATCCGGTTATGAATGTACAACCACAAGTTCAGCGCCTGTTCAATGCTTACCTGGAACTTATGCAGTTAATGGATCTACTGCATGTGCGGGCTGTAGTGCTGGCTACTATTGCCCTGTCAGTGGTATTTCTGAACAATTACCATGTGCAAGTGGAACTTATGCAAACACCACCAATCTATTAAACTGTACCTCATGCCCTTCTGGCTACAAATGTCCAGATGTGGCATTAACACCTGTAGAATGTGGCGCTGGATTCTATAGTAGTAGCGGCTCAATAAGTTGTACATCTTGCCCAGAAGGGTATAAATGTGGTGATACTATAACTATTACACCGGTGCAATGCAGCTCTGGAGAATACGCTCCTGTTGGATCGTCTACCTGTCATACTTGTCCAGCGGGTTCATATTGTCCTGATCCACCACGTGCAGCTCCAATTGCCTGCCCTTCTGGCTGGTATCAAACATCAACTGGACAAACTGCTTGCAGTGAATGTAATGCTGGATCTCAATGTCCTAATGCAACGCAAGCTCCTGACCCTTGTGCAGCTGGTTATTTTTCTCCTATTGCCGGTGCAACTAATTGCCAAGAATGTCCAAAAGGCACCTACAATAAAAATACACAACAACTGTCCTGTAATGAATGTCCGGTGGGATCAAGATGTCCTTTCAAAGATTTAGATCCAATTGCATGTGGGACTGGTCAGTATTCTCCCAAAAATTCTGAAGTATGCTTAAGTTGTCCAGCTGGTGTTGCATGTAGTGCTTCATCGTCAACTCCAACACCGTGCAACCAGGGTCAATATTCCAATTCTACACATTGTGTCGATTGTCCAACAGGAAATTATTGTCCTTCTCCTAGTGGTAGCCCGGTTACATGCGCTGATGGTACATACGCAGATACAACTGGTAATGTCCAATGTACAGCTTGCCCAGCTGGGTATTCTTGCTTAGATGTATCAAGTGCACCAGTTCAGTGTACAGCTGGTTACTACAGCTTAACGGCTACTCGCGATTGTACTCAATGCCCAACTGGCCAATACAGCTCAGATGGAGCAAGTTCATGTCAATTTTGCCCTGCTGGAAAATACTGTATCAATGGTACAACATCAATTTCACCTACTGACTGCCCTACTGGTACTTATTCACCTGATGGTGTCGGCTACTGTTCTCCTTGCGCTTTAGGAACATATTCAAGTGGTACTGGAGCTCACTTTTGTTCGATATGCCCACTGGGTTTTCAATGTATCAACGTCGATCAAACACCATCCGCTTGCTACCCTGGAGAATGGAGCGCTGAGGGCGAATATCTATGTGCACCGTGTCCAGCAGGTCATCGATGCCCAACTTCTGATAAGCCTCCTATACCTTGTGCATCTGGAACATATTCTCCACTAAATGCCACTTCATGTACAGACTGCCCAGCTGGCCATTCATGCGTAACCCCTAGTAATCTACCTGAAGCTTGTACTTCTACTCAATATAGTGCAATTGGATCTGCGATTTGCAGTCCATGCCCAGCTGGCAAATATTGTAGCAATGTTGCTGCATTTGATTGTAACTCAGGCGAATATTCATTACTTGACGAAATGAATTGTACAATTTGCCCTTCAGGATACTCATGCGCTAGTAAAGATTTAGCCCCGGTACAGTGTAATTTAGGTCAAACGACTGGAGGATTACAAGGCCAAGTAACTTGTACCGATTGTACTACTGGCTACTATTGTGCAGATCCAACATTGGCGCAACAACCTTGCCCCTCCGGTTATTACAGCGCTGCCAAAGCACCTAACTGTACTGAATGCCCTGCAGGTTATTACTGTACTGATGCTACTGCTCCACCTCTTCCATGTCAACCTGGATCATACAGTATCTTTCCGAGAACATCGTGCACTCAGTGTCCTGCTGGTTATGCTTGCGCATCGACGTCTGATATCTCATTAGTTACTGAATGTCAACCGGGCACTTATGCTGACGGCAATGATACTTTTTGTACACATTGCCCTGCAGGAAAATATTGTCCAAATACTGCACAAGCTCTAGAAATTGATTGTACTGCTGGATCTTATAGTACAGGAAGCCAACAATACTGTACAGAATGTCCAGGTGGCTGGCAATGTCCAAATGTTTTTGGAACTGCCAATGCGAAATGTCTTCCCGGTTATTATGCCCCTGGAAATGCAACTGCTTGCACACAATGTCCTGCTACTTATGCCTGCCCTTACACAGAAACTAATATGACTTTAACTTGCCAACCAGGTACATATTCAGCAGTGGGACAACAGAGTTGTTCAGTTTGCCCTCCAGGTTATCAGTGTCCAAATACTGATGGAACAAGTATTACTATATGTGCTGCCGGTACCTATAGTGTTGGAAATCAAGCTGCCTGTACTCCTTGCCCGGCTGGTTTTGCTTGTCCAAACTTTTTTGATAACTTTGTTATACAATGTCCTGTAGGTACTTACTCAGTTGGTAATCAACCATCGTGTTTACCTTGTCCACCAGGCTCTTCATGTCAAAATACTAGCACAGCTCCAGTTGCATGTGCTGCCGGAACTTACTCACTAGATTACGATACAGGATGTTATCCTTGTCCAGCTGGCTCATCCTGTAATGATCCAACACAAAGACCTGTATTATGTCCTGCGCTAAAATATAGTAATCATTCTGCTACACAATGCATAGATTGCGATCTTGGTTACTTGTGCCTTGAAGGAAGTAATAATCCTAGACCTACTAACAACATTTGTCCACTTGGTTATTATTGCGAAATTAATGTTGCGGGTATACAAGTTAAAGTTCCTTGCCCTGCTAATACCTACGGTAATCATTCAGGTCAAACATTAGTCGGCCAATGTGTCACATGTCCTGCTGGCTATTTCTGTCCAGCTGCTACCCCTGGTGTTCCTACGTATCACCTCATTTGTCCTCGCGGTTACTACTGTCCCGCCGGTAGCGGTAAGCAGTTGTGTCCTGATGGAACTTATGGCGATAGTCTTGGACTTCAAGCTTCTAGCGAATGTAAAGACTGTCCTGCTGGTAGATACTGTAAAGCTGGATCACGCTACCCTGGACTCCCATGTCCAAAAGGAAGTTATTGTCCAGCCAAAACAGGCGCAACTCCTAATCAATGCAATAGTGGTACATATACAGAACAAGAAGGAAGTACATGTAAGTCAATTATTAATCATCTCTATTATTTTTTCGTAATAATGATGACAACAATGATAATATTGCTATAATTACTATATTAATTGATAAATTTATGTATAATATACTTGTCGTACAGTGTTTCGTATAAGAGTTAATAATGTAAACAAAAATTTATTATTAACTGTTAGTAGCTATAATATAAAATTACATAGTTGATCGATTAATACGAATACTTATTACTTTTTTTAGCGATTGCCGAATGTAAAACATGTCCAACTGGTCACTACTGTACTCAAGGTACAGATTCACCAACCCCCTGCAAGGCGGGATCATTTAATGCTTGGGTAGGTCAGGGAGCAGAATCGGATTGTCAGTCTTGTCTGGCTGGACAAGCTTGTCCAATTGCTGGTTTAGTTCGCCCTACATTAGGCTGTTATCCTGGCTACTATTGTCCAGCTGGATCTATCTTACCCAATGATACGCGTTACGCATGTCCAGCTGGTACTTACTCTAATTATAACAATTTAACAGCATGGCAACAATGTCTACCGTGCCCTGCCGGTCAAGCCTGCCCTAAAGGTACAGGTGGTCGACAGAAACCTCCTGAGCCATGTGCACCTGGCCATTACTGCCAACAAGGAACACAATTTGCATCGCAGTTTGCATGCCCTGCTGGTACATATGCCAACTTAACAAATTTGAAAGCTGCTGCCGATTGCTACGTATGCCCAAGTGGTTGGTATTGTTCACCTGGTTCAGCAACGCCCACCGCGTTATGCTATCCTGGTCATTACTGTCCAGCCGGTACAAAATTAGCTGTTGATAATCCATGTCCAGCTGGTACATATTCTGAAAGTTATGGCAATTCTCGTATTGAAGCTTGCAAACGATGCTTGCCTGGACACTATTGTCCTGCTGGATCCAGTACAACGACACCTTGCCCTCAAGGAAGATATTCTAAAAAGTATAGCAATGGAAAATTAGAAGACTGTGATGTTTGTATAGCAGGTTATTCATGTGGAGGTACAGGAAATGTTGATCCTAAAGAGTGTGGCAAAGGTAACTATTCAGACAGTGGAGCATGGATTTGCTCACCTTGCAAATCAGGCCATTACTGTAACTCCAATCATACTTCTCAAAGTGATATGCTTACTAAATTGATTTGTGGTGCGGGAATGTGGTGCAAAGAAGGACGATCAACAGCACCAAATTTAGTTGATGACGCTTGTCCATCTGGGTATTACTGTGTTACTGGAGATAAAGCTGGTGACCCGTTGCCATGTCCTAATGGAACTTACAATCCTGTAACAGGTAGAAAAGCTCTTAGCGATTGCGTTACCTGTCCTCCTGGCAAGTATTGTTCACCTCCTGGTCTATCTCAACCAGCTGGTGATTGTTCTCGTGGCCATTACTGCCCAGCTGCTAGTTGGGTACCAACGCAAATACCATGCCCAAGAGGATTTTACTTAAATTTAACTGGCGCTGCTAATATTGATGCATGCACTGTTTGTTTATCTGGAGGCTACTGTGATAAACCAGGTCTAGAATTACCTGTGATATGTCCGAAAGGGCACTTCTGTGAAACAGGTGTTACTGCTCCCCAACCATGTTATATTGGTACCTATGGACCTGTAGAAGGTATTAAACGTAGTCAAGATTGCTCACCTTGTTCGGGAGGTTATTACTGTGAAGGATTTGGATTATCAAAACCAACAGATATTTGTGACGCTGGTTTCTACTGCAGAGAAAAAGCATACACTTCAGCACCTCCAGATGGACCAACTGGTGGTTTATGTCCAGCAGGTGGTTATTGTCCAGCTGGAACACCAGTGCCGCAAAATTGTCCAGTTGGTACTTACAGTAATTCTAGTGGTTCAAAAGATCCTCGCGATTGTTTCGATTGTGATCCTGGCTATTATTGTGCCGGCGATAATAATCCTCATCCAACAGGTCCTTGTGAAGCTGGTTTCTATTGCACAGGTAAAGCTGCTAAACCAACACAACATGATACGCCAGCTGGTCATTATACTAAGGCTGCAGCTACACATCCTGAACCATGTGCATCTGGCTCATTCCAGCATTCAAACAATTCTGAGCACTGTATTATATGTCCGATGAGGCATTACTGTAATGGCACTGGCCTGACAGTAATGAAAATATGCGATCCTGGCCACTATTGTCCGTACAATAGTTCACTTCCCACACCTTGCCCGAATGGAACTTACGCTACTAGTACTGGTAACGCTTTCGTCACAGAATGCGATCTATGTGATGCTGGAAAGTATTGTGGATCATGGGGATTGGCATTACCTTCAGGTGCTTGTGCTGCTGGGTTTTATTGCTTATTAGGTTCAGCAACTCCAATTCCGGGCAATAGTGGAACTGATACAGAAGTTGGAGGAGTATGTCCAGCTGGTCACTTCTGTCCTGAAGGCACAAAGACTAAATTTGAAAATCCTTGCGGTAATGGAACCTATAATAATGTCACTCAACGAACATCTATAGATGATTGTTTAGCTTGTCCACCTGGTAAAGCTTGTACAGCTCCTGGACTTGCATATCCAAATGAAGACTGTGCTCCAGGTTATTACTGTATAGCAAGAGCAAATACTACTAAACCGATCGATGGAGTAACAGGATCATTTTGTACTGAAGGCCATTATTGCCCTGGAGGTTCATCTGCACCTTTACGTTGTCTGGATGGAACTTACAATAATGTAACACATCAATCTACATGCTTTACATGTCCTGCTGGATACTTCTGCGATGGTTCTATCTTGCCACAAGTCTGTCCTAGAGGAAGGTACTGTCCCGCGGGTACAGGAGCTAATTCTCCATTGTGTCCTCCTGGTACGTACAATTCGGAGTACGGACTAAAATCTGTAGATGAATGTTTACCATGTCAAGCTGGTTGGTATTGTGCTGGTTATGGTATTATCGACTTTTTTATTGCCAATCAAAGTATAGGATTGTGCGATGCTGGCTTTTATTGTGTCAGTGGTGTTAACGTTAGTAAACCGGTATCTGGAGCACATACCGGTATTGGAGGTGTATGTCCTCCAGGATATTACTGTCCAGCAGGAACTAGTGTACCTAAAGGTTGTCCTCCTGGAACCTATTCTGCTAATTCTCAATTAGAGCATGCCGATAATTGTACACAGTGTGAGTATGGAAAGTATTGTTCAGGTTACAACTCGACAGAACCTGTCGGTCCTTGCGATCCTGGCTTTTACTGTTTGAGAGGATCCACAACGCCAAATCCGCCAACTGTTACAGAAATTGGTGGTCCTTGCCCGGTTGGTCGTTATTGTGAATCTGGGACATCATATCCTAAACCTTGTAATGCTGGATCTTATAATAACATCAGTGGACAGGCTATTTGTTTTGCATGTCCCAGTAGCTTCTACTGTCCGGAAAATTCAACAACATATTCTAGCAATATCTGTCCTATTGGCCATTACTGTCCAACTGGTACAAAATATGCAACCGAATATCCATGTCCTCGAGGCTACTTTAGAAATGTTACAGCCGGTCATTCAGTTAGTGATTGTTACGCTTGTCCTGGTGGCTGGTATTGTAACGGTGAGGGACTTATTAGTGCTACCGGTAAATGTGACGCTGGATACTTTTGTAGTCTAGCCGCTTGGTCGCCAAAGCCAACAGATTTCAATGTTAGTGAAAGTTGCAATGGATGCTTATGCCCAACAAATGTTACTGGTGGATTATGTCCTGCTGGTTACTACTGTCCATTTGGTTCACCCGAGCCGATACCTTGCCCTGGGGGTTACTTCTGTTTAGATAACGGTCTTACCAATTACACTGGCTTATGTAGTGCAGGATATTACTGCAGCAGTGCCGCAAAGATACCCAATCCAACAGATGGTACAACTGGAGATAGATGCCCGGCAGGTCATTACTGTCTATCGGGAACTAGCGTACCTAAACCTTGCCCTGCTGGCACCTTTTCAAATTCATTGGGAAATACAGCATTATCTGATTGTCAATCGTGTACTAAAGGATATTATTGCAATACAACTGCTCTTACTACACCTAGTGGGCAATGCCGTGCAGGTTATTACTGTCCTGCAGGACAATCTATCGATAATCCATTCCCATGCCCACCAGGTAATTATTGCCTCGCAGGTTCATTTGAAGGTAGCGCTTGTCCACCTGGGCAGTATCAAAATTTACCTGGCCAGTCTGCCTGTAAACCATGCGTAGCAGGCTATTATTGTGATCCTCAATATCCGTTAGATGATTATTCTCCTTACAAATGTCCTGCTGGTTTTTACTGTCCACAAAGTACTCCTTATGGAAATCGTTACAGTTGTCCGAATGGTACATATTCTGCTTCCCAGCAATTAACGCAACCGGAAGATTGTACTCCATGTGATCCTGGTAAATATTGCAACGGAATTGGACGAACCAGTCCCAATGCTAACTGCAATGCTGGCTTTTACTGTAGCGGAGGGGCATTCACTCCGTCACCTAACGATGGTACTACTGGATATTCATGTCCAATAGGTCATTATTGTCCTACCGGTGCCACCATACCATTGAAATGTTCAGCTGGTACATTCTCCAATGTTACTGGCCTGAAGAATGCTTTAGAATGCTTCAATTGTACAGCAGGAAAGTATTGCGGAGAAGACGGTCTCACTAAACCATCAGGAGACTGTTATGGTGGATTCTTTTGTACTAGTGGCGCTTCGACACCATCGCCAACTGATGGAATAACTGGGAATAAATGCAGTGCTGGACATTATTGTCCTAATGGTACAGCCGTCGAGAAAGCATGTTTACCAGGAACTTACACAACTCAAACACAAGCATATGAATGTTTAGCATGCCCAAGCGGTAAATATTGTGTTGATGGTTTAGTACCTGCTGATTGTCCGGAGGGATTCTTTTGCCCTAGTAACACCGGTTATAATTGGAAGAGCTGTCCTACAGGAACATTTAGCAATCAACGTGGATTACTTAACGATTCTCAATGTGAAAGTTGTACCGCCGGTAATTACTGCGACAAGCTCAATGCCACCGCACCAAGTGGTAGCTGTGATTCTGGCTACTTTTGTAAATCTGGTTCCGACACCAAAACTCCAGATGGCGTAACAAATAAGGGAAATGCAGGTATATGCCCACCTGGCTCATATTGTCTAGCTTCCACTAGCCAGCCTCAGCCCTGTCCGATGGGTACATACTCGAATAAAAGTGTCTTAACTCATGTTGATAACTGTACACTGTGTTCATATGGTAAATACTGTGGTGAAACTGGATTGACTAAACCTAGCGGTGATTGTTGGGGAGGATTCTACTGTCTGCTAGGAGCTAAGTATCCTAATAATCCTAATGAAGATAGCACTGGTGGCCCATGCCCAATTGGACGTTACTGCTTTAATGGTACATCACGTCCTCTTGGATGTGCGGCTGGCACGTACAATAATTTAACCGGGCAGTCAGACTGTACTACTTGTCCGGCTGGCTATTATTGCTTAGAAAATTCTACTACGTATGAAAATACTCCATGTCCAGAAGGTTATTATTGCTTAGAGGGCACGAAAGAACCGTACCAATATGGTTGTCCTAAAGGTTATTATAATAGCTATAAGATGAAGACTGATGCTTCAGGATGTACTCCATGTGATCCTGGTAAGGTATGTCCAACAGAGGGCTTGACAGCTCCAACCCAAAATTGTAGCGCTGGGTGGTTCTGCATACGAGGGGCCTGGTCTACTACTCCTGCCGATCTTGGATCTTCTAATAGTACTGGATGTTTCTGCTCTAATTCAACAACTGGCGGTCAATGCGAAATAGGGTATTACTGCCCAGCTGGATCTAATCAAATGATACCATGTAGTTCAGGCTATTACTGCGACAAGGTAGGTCTAACACAACCGACGGGAAAATGTAAAGAAGGCTACTTCTGTATACAAGGTGCTACCGTTGCAGATCCTACAGATAAGATCACTGGAGATGTTTGTCCACTTGGCCACTATTGTCCAGATGGAACACTAGTACCTGTTAAATGTGGACCTGGTACTTTCTCTAACACAACAGGCAATACTAATTCATCTGGTTGTCAGTTATGTCCAGCAGGAAAATATTGCCCAGGCAGTGGAAACGCGGAACCTTTTGGTGATTGTAGTGGCGGCTATTACTGCCCAGCTGGCCAATCTACTGCCACTCCCTCAGATTATCAATGCCAACCAGGAGGCTATTGTACAGCTGGATCAGCTAATCAAATTCCTTGCTCTCCAGGAACCTATCAAAATGAAATGGCCCAAATATCTTGTAAATCTTGCCCGACAGGTTACTACTGTGATGGATTTGTTCTAAATGCGACTCATTGTACGCACGGTGTCCAATTTCCAACGATATGTCCTACCGGTAGTTTCTGCCCTGTTGGAACTAGATTTGGTGATGAATTTAAATGTCCTAAAGGTACATATAATAATCTAACAGGTCTACAGCTACAAAGCGAATGTCAACCATGTCAACCTGGTAAATACTGTGGTACAGCAGGATTATCAACATGGACCGGTGATTGTAATGCTGGTTATTATTGCTTACAAAATGCTTCAACTCCAGAGCCTACCGATGGGATCACGGGATCTAAATGCCCTGTTGGTAACTATTGTCCTAAAGGTGCTACATCACCGAAAGGATGCCCATCAGGAACTTATAATCCAACGGAAGGATTAGCCGATGTGACACAATGTAAATCTTGCGATCCGGGAAGTTATTGTGGTAGTTCTGGACAATCTGTGACATCAGGCAACTGTACTGCAGGATTTTACTGCCTTGGCAATGCTACCGTTGGTAATCCAATAGATGGCATTACTGGTGGTATATGTTGGCGTGGACATTACTGCCCGCCTGGTAGTTCTTCTCCAGTCCCATGTAACCATGGTTATTATTCTAACGTAACACAGAGTAAAGAATGCAATATCTGTCCTGCAGGTTACCTATGTACAACTGGTACCGATCCTGAAATTTGCCCCACCGGATTCTACTGCCCTGAAGGTACCGGTATAAATCCACGACCGTGTCCACCTGGAACGTTCAACCCTAATAAAGGTATTAAAGATGTATCTGAGTGTACTAGTTGTTCCGGTGGTTACTACTGTTCAAGTTTCAATGGTAGTTTCGAGACTGGAAAGTGTTCAGCAGGTTATTTCTGTGCTAATGGATCTAATACAAATCAACCAAATGAATTTACTCTTGGTAAAGGAGGTATATGTCCAGCTGGTTATTATTGTGAATTAGGTACGCAAGATCCAAATCCATGCCCTAGTGGTACATTTTCTAATAAAACCGGATTAACAGCATTAAACCAATGTGATTCATGTTATGGAGGCTATTATTGTAATATACCAGGCCTAACTAGTCCTTCTGGTAAATGTAGTCCAGGTTATTACTGTGTATCTAATGCGAATGAAAGTGCTCCCTCGTCTATTTCTTCAACCGGTGGCCCATGTCCAGCTGGTTATCACTGTCCTGAAGGTTCAACGCTACCGTTATCTTGCAACGGTGGAACGTATAGTCCAACGATAGCTCAAAGCAGTTGTCAGAACTGCCTAGCCGGTTATTACTGTCCAGTAAATGCCACTGCTAAAATCGTATGTCCTTTGGGACACTACTGTCCAGCTTTTTCAATTGAAGCTCAGCCGTGTCCTGTTGGATATTATTCGCCTGTTCAATACGCTAACAGCAGCCAAGATTGTGTACCATGCGGACCTGGTCAGTATTGTAATGATACTGGGCTAGCTGCACCGACAGGTTTATGTGCTCCTGGCTATTATTGCTCTGGAGGATCTCCAACCAATAAGCCTGCGCCTGCAAACAATATCACTCACGAAGGCTCATGCATGTGTCCTGCTCAGGTTGTAGGTGGACGTTGCGTTGCTGGTAATTACTGTCCTCAAGGTAGTGATCGACCGTTGCCTTGCGATCCTGGATTTTATTGCGCGTACGATGGTCTTTCAAGTGTTAGTGGATCTTGTACTGCTGGTTATTACTGTAATGGAAGTACAATCGAAGATCGTCCCGTTAACAAAGTATACGGAAGTCATTGCCCATCTGGTCATTATTGCCCTCAACAAAGTTCCTCGCCAACACCTTGTAACCCAGGCTATTACTCACCTAACACGCATAATCAAAATGCAAGTAATTGCTTACTGTGTACAGCTGGTTACTACTGTTCAGGTTATGGACAATCTCAAACTACAGACCAATGTGATGTTGGCTACTATTGTCCAGAAGGTGAATCTGTTAGTCAACCTCCTGGCAAACATTGTTTACCAGGTCATAAATGCCCAAAAGGAAGTGCTAACCAGACACCATGTCCTTCCGGTTCATATCAAGCCTTCGCCGGTCAAGGTAACTGCACTGTTTGTCCTGATGGATATTATTGCGATGCTACAGTTGCTGTGCTTGAAAAGCAGAGCGGTCCTTCCAGTTTAACGCATGGAGTTGTCACGCCAGCTATTTGCCCTGTTGGTTATTATTGTCCGGAGGGAACAAAGTCTAGTTATGAAAATGCTTGTCCAGCTGGCACTTACAGTAATAAAACAAGTATTAAAACTAAGCACGAATGCCTGTCGTGTACTCCTGGATACTATTGTGCTGGTACAGCCAATACAGAACCAGACGGTAAATGCTATGCCGGTTATTATTGTGCCATGAATGCAACTTCACCGTCACCAACAGAAGGACTCACTGGTGATATTTGCCCACAAGGTTCATACTGTCCGTTAGGATCTTCTTGGCCTACACCATGTCCTAGTGGTACCTATGGTGCTAGTCTAGGTTTAACCCAAGTTACCCAATGTACAGATTGTCCACCAGGAATGGCCTGTCAAACGCCAGGACTCATACAACCATCTAGTTCTTGTCAATCAGGATACTACTGTATACTAAAAGCAATTTTACCAAACCCACTTGGCGAATCCTACGGTAGTATTTGCCCACCTGGAGCTTATTGTCCAATAAATAGCAGTGCGCCAACATTATGTCCACCGGGTACATATCAACCACTACAGATGCAACCTGCCTTGTCTAATTGCTTAAGTTGCGATCCAGGTTACTACTGCCAAGGATATGGAAATATTAACATGACAGATAAGTGTAGTGAAGGGCACTATTGTGATGGCAATGCATCAGTTGCTGCACCACCGGATAAAGTATGTCCGATTGGTACGTTCTGCAAGTTAGGATCTCCAATTTTCCAACATTGTCCAAACGGAACCTATATGAACTATACTGGAGCTTCATCATGTATCACTTGCCCGGCTGGATCCTATTGCGTCAGCCGAGATCGACCTGATCCATGTCCACTCGGATATTATTGCCCAACTGGAACAGGAGCAGATTTTAAGCCTTGTCCTCCAGGTACATTTGGTGCCAAGACTGGTTTGACTGCTGTATCTGAATGTGCCCAATGCCCTGCGGGAAAATACTGCTTACACGCTGGCGCCACCAATTACACGGGTGATTGTGCAGCTGGCTACTATTGCACATCAGGTGTCAATATGTTCGTTCCAAGTGGTGCTCATACTGGTATAGCTGGTGAATGTCCGGTAGGTCATTTTTGCCCGATAGGCTCTGCAAAGCCGTTGGGTTGCAGTGCTGGTACATATAACAGTTTGAAGAATCAAGCGCAGTGCCTCACATGTCCGTCTGGTTATTATTGTCCTGAAAATTCGACAAGTCATACAGATTATCCGTGCCCCGCTGGAAGATATTGTCCAGCAGGTACGACAGACCCAAATCAATATTTATGTCCTAGAGGTTCATACAATCCATATGCAGGCAAGAATAGCATTAGTGATTGCTTAATGTGCCCTCCCGGTAAATACTGTGAACAAGATGGTCTATCACAACCAACTGGAAATTGTAGTGCTGGCTATTATTGTAATGGATGGTCGTACCAATCTACGCCAATTCAATATTCTAACGCAACAGATATTTCACAATGTTCTTGTCCAACCACAAATTACACCGGAGGAAGATGTTGGCCTGGTACGTATTGCCCTGAAGGTAGTGGATATCCTAAAGCTTGTGATCCAGGTTTTTACTGTTTTAGTGCTGGATTAGGTACACCAACTGGCCCTTGTGATGCTGGTTATCATTGTAGTGGTGGTAGTACAATATCGAATCCTGTTGTGTGCCCGAAAGGATTCTATTGTGAGCAAGGTACGGGTGCCCCTATAGCTTGTCCAGCGGGATATTTCAGTAATACCACTGGAAATACTGCAGCAGCGGATTGTGAATTGTGTCTACCAGGACAATATTGCAGCGGCGTCAGTGCAGTTTTACCGTCAGGAAATTGTAGCGCGGGATATTACTGCCCTGGTGGTCAAAATACATCTAAACCAGTTGACTATGTATGCGGTGAAGGCTACTATTGTCCGGAAGGATCAAGCACACAATTAGCATGTTTACCAGGTTCTTACCAAGATGAAGTTGGGCAAGGAACTTGTAAGTCCTGTCCTGCTGGTTACTTTTGCGATGCTGATGAAGTACAAGCACAATGCTCGGGATCTAGTCACGGCGTTAAAGTTCCTACTATTTGCCCACTCGGCTATTATTGCTTGCCAGGTACATCTAGAAATATCTCTAATCCATGTCCTGCTGGAACTTTTGGAGCAATTACTGGGGCTAAATCAACTGGTGATTGCCATTCCTGCCCAGCCGGTAAATTCTGTAATGGTGATGCTCTAACTACTCCATCGGGTGACTGTGATGCAGGCTATTACTGTGCAAGCGGAGCAAATAGTTCGAAACCAATTATTGCATCAGGACTGCCGGAATACAATGATACAACAACATTAGCTACAGTATATTATAATGATCTCTGTCCAATAGGCTATTATTGTCCAGCAGGTACTATCATTCCTATACCATGTCCAGCTGGTACATTCTCTGCTGTGAAACGTCTCAAGGCTAAAGAAGAGTGTTCGCCATGTCCAGCTGGACAATACTGCAAAGCGCCAGGTTTGATTGACGTTACTACTGCTCCTAATTGTAATGCAGGATATATCTGTTCTGGTAATTCTGTAACTGGTACACCTACTTCAAATAATGGAGGATACGAATGTCCTCGTGGTTATTATTGTCCGTCTGGTGCGGTACGACCTCAAAGTTGTCCACCGGGTACATATCAAAGCAGCCCAGGAAACGATACATGTATCCCATGTCCTGCTTCTTATCAGTGCGATCAAGAAAATGTAACTGATCCTATAAAATGTATTAAAGGTCACTACTGCCCAGCAGGTGTTGCAACACCAATAGCATGTCCTAATGGAACGTTCCGTAATCAAGATGGTGCAGCTAGTGTTAGTGATTGCCAACCGTGTTCTACGGGAAAATTCTGTTCTGGAACCGGAAATATCGTTGAAAGTGGGGATTGCGACGCTGGCTTTTACTGTGTGGAAGGAGCTAGTTCGCCTGTGCCTGAAAGTGATGTAAAGAATAATGGCCCATGTCCAGCTGGTAAATATTGCTCAGTAGGAACGACTTCGCCTACACCTTGTCCTCCTGGCCGATATAGAAATACAACTGGTGCAGCAGATGTGGATGATTGCTATGGTTGTGAACCAGGATATTATTGTGCTACCCCTGGATTGACCACTCCAACAGGTCAATGCGATGCTGGGTACTACTGTCCTCCGTTATATAATGCTACTATTCCTACTCCACCTGATAGGGTATGTCCAATTGGTTCCTTCTGTGTTAAAGGATCAGCCTTACCTACAACTTGTGCAGGTGGATCCTATCAGCCCGTAGCCGGAAAAGGCTACTGTGATCTATGTAAAGAAGGTTACTATTGCGCCTCTGGTCTAGGCTCTGAAGCGGCTTGCCCTCCTCATAATTATTGTCCAGCTGGTTCACAATATCCAACTCTATGTCCAAATGGTACATATACAGATTCTACTACAACATTATTAACATCAGTGTCTGGATGTAAACCATGTCCAACTGGTAAATTCTGTAGAATCGGTAGAATTACAGCATCCTGTAGTGCTGGCTATTATTGCTTAAGTGGTAGCCCAGTACCTGCACCGGAAGATTATAACACAACTGATTCAAACTTTTGCACAAGTGATATTAAGGCAGGCCCATGTTCAGCGGGCCAGTACTGCGAAGAGGGTACAATAGTTGAAAAGCCATGTCCAGAGAATACTATCAGAACGATACCTGGTGGTTCAACCGTAGCTGATTGTTTAGCTTGTCCAATCGGTAAGAAATGTTATGCGGGTAATCCAATACCTGATGATTGTCCTACTGGCAATTATTGTCCTGGTGGTGCCCCAGTAAAATGTCCTTATGGTACATATCGAAATACAGTTGGAGGAGCATCAGCAGCTGACTGTTTCCCGTGTCCTGCCGGTGCTCATTGTAATGATACCGGTATCAGCGATTATAACAAAGTTCCCTGCCCACCTGGCTTCTACTGTCCCAATGGCACATACCTTGTCAGTTGTGGTGCAGGCTTCATGAGACCAAATTCTGGAGCTGCTAGAAAAGAAGATTGTGTGGTATGCTTAGAAGGTTACTATTGCCCTGATAATAGAACAAATGTATATGGTATTCCTTGTGATGCAGGATTTAATTGCCCTCTCGGTTCTGTTGGTCCAACTCCATGTGAGCCTGGAACTTATTGTCCTGGTCAATCTAATGCAGCCATTGTTTGTCCAGCTGGTTACTACTGCCCTGCTGGATCTGCAGATTATAAAACAAGGCCATGCAATTTCCGTTATTTCTGCCCTGAAGGCAGCGCAGCTCCTCTAACTTGTGATTTAGGATACCAAGCATTAAACACTTCTGGATTAAGAATTGATAATGACACTACTTGTGAAATTTGCCCAGCTGGTTATTACAATAATGCTCCAGGAGCACAAGATTGTCTGCTATGTCCTGGTGGCTATTATTGTCCTCAAGGTTCTACCAATGGATATAGGAATCCATGTGTTGCCGGTACATATTGTCCTGCTGGATCAAGTGCGGCTACACTGTGTCCAATTGGTACATATGGTAACTTCACTAAGGCTAGCAACGATACGGATTGTTTCCCATGCCAACAGAATACATTCAACAATCTACTAGGACAAACGGCATGTAGACCATGCGGCCGAAGTGCTACTGCTTTAAACACTGGTTCTATCACGTGTTCATGTATTGGTAGTTTCAGAAGTTTCCAACCAACAACCGGATTGTGTGTATGTGAAGATGGTTATGTCTTCTATGATGCTAATGGTAACAAACAATCTAATGTAGACAGTGACAAATCTTGCCAGGAAGATGTAGTTCAAGAATGTACTGCGAATCAAGTTCGTTTAGCTAGTACTAAACAATGTGTTCCTAGCACAGGATATGATTGTGGTCCTAGTTGTCCTAACAGTAATGGTACATTGGACGCTGAATTAGGTGTTTGCCAGTGTAATAGTTATACAGAACCATCAGAAATTTGTTCGCAAGCATGTGAAGCACAAAGTCCTACCACCCAAATTGTCACTACAAATGGTCAGACGCAAATTCTTGTTAAGAACAAACAAACTAATAACGTTGAACAGACCGTGTCAGTTCCTAATCTATTTGGTCTAAATCAGAATCTTAATGAAGCAGCTCAGGTTCATTTTGTTGATGTTAGTGCACAAAGTATGAGTGGCTTAATTGTTACACAAAATAATCAGGTACCAGATATTGTCGGTTCACAACCTAGTGCTAAACGTCGTCGATTGTTAGCTACATCCTCAGCGCCAGGAATAAGTAATCCAATCATGTGTATTAAAACTAACGAAGTTATCTTGTTCAAGATAGCTTTAAATCAAGCCAATAGATCACTAAGTCATTATCCTCAGTATCAGAAAGAGCACGTTTTCAACACCAATACTAAATTTGATTATGGCCCATTCACTGACTTGGAATACTACGTTTTAAATACCAACATTACAATTAGAAATTTTGCTTATATGTTTACTCAAAAAGGTGTTTATGTCTTCGTCGATGCACAATCGTCATCATCGCAATTAATTGTAAGAACTATTGCCACTGGTGAAAATTGTGGCTCAACCGGCTCAACGGTTGTACCATCATCTCCAACTCAAATAAATAGGCAAGGTATTGGCGAAAAGAAGGCATTAAATGTTGCACCAAATTGGCCTTTAATATTTGGTCTATTAGGTTTAATAGGTGCTTTAGTGTTACTACTAGTTATTGTTGTTATTGCTTGGAAACCGAAAGAAGCTGGATTTTATTCTCGTAAGACACTTCGACCACGTTATAAGAATTTAGGAGCACCTATTCCACCAAACAATCCAGGTACTCAAATCATGCCACGCCAAGAAGCTGTAACTAAAGAAGAATTCTTGTTAGGCCCGCGAGCTTTAGGAGAAGGGCTAGAGAATCAATTAGAAGAGGTTGCAGGGGGTGAAGCTGTTGTACCTAAAGCAATTGCCGCTAATGAATTCGAGTTAGAGAATTTCAGTGTTCGTACTTTATTTGACAAATTGGAAGATCAAAATGTCCATTGTGCATCACAGTTACATCGTCATCAAGCTGATTTACGCGATTTCTACGAGAGGATGAATCAACAGAATGAAGCATTAAAGGGTATGGTATCTAATCTTGATGTTAGTGTATTACAAAAGGCTGCAAATGCATCAACATCAGAGGATAATGCTGAAGGTGGTGCCGACGAATCTGCTAAGGTTAAGGGACCAACATTCAATATAGAAAATAAGCATTATACTCTAACTGGTGGTATAAATGCACGTGAACAGGACTTAATTTCAACATTACAAAAGCTATTAGACCATATCACAAATCCTCAGATTATACAAACAAACGCCGTTGTCCAACGATCAACGAGCCAGGATGCAGCGCAAGCTAATAACGTCATTTGGAAAATGCATGATCATACCGATTTAATTAGGCGTCAAGCCGCTGAAAAGATACAATTAGAAAAAGATTTGCAAGCTGAAGAGCAGGAAGCTATTAAAGCATTAGTAATAGAACAAGAAACAAAGCGGTCAGATACGATTAAACGTCTTAATGAGAAATTAGCTGCCCAAATATCACCGGATATGTCTGATGAAGAAGTACAACAGTTACTTGCTGCCCATGAGAAAGAGGTAGAATCAATTACAGCGCAACTTGATGCAGAAAAGGATCGACAAAAGAATGATTTAAGAGAGCGATTAGCTAAAAGGCGTAAAGATAAACAACGCGCATTAGCAGATGCTCATCGAGCACAAGCACGTAAAGCTGGACTGGACACTATTATCGAAGAAGAGTCAGAAGGTGACATTGAAGATGATATTAAAGCAAAAGAAGCTCAATACGATATGATTTTACAAGAAGAAAATCTGGAAGCTGCTAAAGAACTAAGTGAAAATTCTAATCAAACGATGGAAAATCTTGGTAAAACTATGAATAACAAGTTGGCGAAGAACTTGGAGTCCTTATCTCAAGGTGGTATTATAACACCAGAGGAAACTGAGGCATTGTTATGTGAGATGGAGACTCAGCAAAAGAATATCAATGATGGTATCCAACATAGGCGCAATTTACAACGCGATGGTATGAAGAGACGATTAGAGGATCGTCGTAAGCGAAGATTAAATAAACTAGCAGACAAACATGCTGAAGAAGTCGAAGAAGCTAAACACAACGGTGATAATATTGATAAATTGTTAGAAAGACAACGGCAAGAAGCTAATGCCCTGGAAGCACGATTAAAAGCTGAAGAAGCTGAAGAAGAACTTGAGATGAATAAAAAACTAAATGAAGAAGCTATCAATTCACTCAAACAAGCTAATAAAGATATATTGGAACGTGTTGCTCGCTCTAAAGGGCTTGATGAAGAAATGCGAGATCGCTTAGTTGATGAATACCGTGATTACACGAAAGCATTAGAAGATGAACAATCAGCTCAGCGTAGTGCGAAACAAGCAGACATTAAAGAGCGGCTTGTCAATAGGCGAATGAAAAGATTAGAAGCCGCGCAAAAGAATCTACAGGAGGAAAAAGTGAAAGATGTAGAGAAAGAACGTGATAAATTACTTGAAGAGGTAACTCCGACGTCAGGAAACAATGATGGGCAAATCTTAATTCCTGAAGTTGCTGTCGTAGCTCAATCCTCCGAAGAGACTGCCTTGAAACAAGAGCAAGAACGAGTTCTCGAAGATTTACGAATGCGACAAAAAGATGATCTTGAAAGTTTCACACAACGTATTGAGCGCGATTCAAAGGAAGATGAAAGTAAACTTGCACAAAAATTAGAAAATAGTAAGCAAAAGAAAGTACGCGAAATGAAGAACAAACAAGCTGCTGAACTTGCCGCTCGCGGTAATAGTATGTCGACTGATGAAACAGCAGCATTAATGGCATCACATCAACGTGAGTTAGCTGAATTAGAGAATAAACTTGATCAGGATAAGCACCGTCAAAAACTAGCATTAAAAGAGAAATTACGTAAAAGGAAAAAGAATAAGCAACAAGAATTTGTTGATAAACAGGAACAAGAATTGGAAAAAGAGACGCTTGAACAAGAGAAAGAACTTTCTGAAGTTCGCAAAAAGAACGTTAAGGAGGCTGAAAAACAGGCCATGATCGCTGGTATACAACAAAACGGCGTCGAAGCTGGTGATTTAATCGTACGTAGAGTATTAGAACAACGTCACGCTGATGAAATGAAAGCCTTAGAGAAACAGTTTGAAGCCGAACGTAAAAAGAGCGTCGACGATGCGTTAACGGTATTATTAAAGAAACAGGCAGCAGAACGTGAAGCAATGTTAGCAAAACATCAGAGCGAATTGGAAGATCTTGAAAACTCTGATTTAGCACCAGATGAATTAGAACAGCAGAAATCGAACTTATTAAATAAACAGCAATTAGAGTTGAGCAAATTGGAGCAAAAGCATGAAGATCAACGTAAACGATTAGAACGTAGTACATTAACTGATTTAGAAGTCAAGTTTGCCAATGAAAAACTGAAATTGAAAGAACAACAGTATAAGGAATATGCTGACGCATTAAGTCAGTTAACACCAGAACAAGATGCTGCTGTTAAAGTTGAAAAGGCCAAAGTAGCTGCACAAGATTTAGATAATTTGCGGAAAAAACTGGAAGTACAACGTCAAGAACAAGAAGAAAAATTGAAGCAAGAACGTAATGCGTTTGAGACTCAGGCAGAAGATGATCTTGCTAAAGCAATTAAAGACTTCGATAAACAATTAGAGAAAGAAATGGACTTACAGAAACAAAAGTTAAAGCAAGATATTGAAGAATTGGACGCTCGGAAAACTAAAGCAATAGAGGAAAAGAAAGAACAAGCTAAACAAGAATTGGAAGCGAAGCAGAAATCTGGTAGTAGTAAGGAAGAATTGCAGCGCTTAACTGATCAACATGAAAAAGATTTACTAGCGTTACAAAACAAATTGGATGCTGACCGTATGCGCATGGAAAGTAGTTTGCAAGAGAAGTTACGTAAGCGCAAAGAAGCTGCTCGCAAAAAGAAGGTTCAAGACGTTGAAGCCGCATTAGATGAAAGTAAGAGAGAGCACGAAGAAGAATTGCATAAACAAGAAGAAGAAATTAAGAAGGCGGAAGTAGAAGCGTTGTCAGAGGTATTACACAAAGCTGCTAAGGAGAATGAATCATTGCAACAAACAATTCCAGGACAGACGACGTCTCAAGCACAGTTATCATCAGTCATATCAGGCCAGCAAGCATTGTCTACAGCTATGCCCGCATCATTCCAAATGGCAGCCCCACTGTTAGATAACGAGTTGAGTAATCTTTTAGTAGGGTCACCACTATACGCTAAATTAGATGAAATACGCAGCCTTATACGTGAAGGTCCAAAATCAGATAACGAGGCAAATAATGACAGTGGCTACATTGATCCTAAAGATGCTACGTGGATTAATGATACAGCTTTGATCCCTCTAGACATTCAGAAATTAAACTCTCGCCTGTTTATTGTCTACAAATTTGGACAATTTATTTCCGATTTGCTTTCAATAGAATGCCAGCATCCAACAGTCACCCTGTTAATTGCTGAAAAGATTCCACCCAATAATCACTTACATCATAATGCTTATCGTAATTCTTTCTATTATGATTCACATAATCGCTTCTTATACATCAGAGTTGAGCGATTAGAGAATGTTGGAGAATTTGTACTCGTTTTAACCCACATTTTATCCCATATTAAGTGTGGTGATATGATCAATGACAATAATCCAGGATTTGCTGCTAAATTTTATGCTGGTTTGTCAGTTTTGTGTGATGACCTCTTCTTCTCGCGCTACAAGACTTCAACAGCTGTAACTAGTCAAGATCGAAAAGGACTACATTTACTGCAAGTTTTATTTGGTAGTGCTTCGAACCATGCTGACAAAGTCAATGTTGTCGATAATCTGTTAGATATGAAATTGAAACGAGGCAATGATGAAGCTGCGTTTTCTAAAGAACAATTGCGATCGCGATTATCACAATATTCAGATTTCACAGTTAGTTCTAAATTACATGAATACCTTGGCTCTATACATGATCGACTAAGTTTAGCCCGTGAACATGGTAAGTATTCTAATGTTGACTAAATAGCTATTGATGTAATGTTACAAATTGTTTGTTAAAAGTATTGCATTGTTTTGGCTAGGTATCGAGGACTATGTCGATAAAAAACTGATGGAAATCAAAGCTATTGATAATTCTGATACTACATATCATTCTCATGCTGTGACTGCAACACCGGCTACTGGTAAAAACATGATTAGACAATTGACTCGAACACAATCCAAATTGTCTTCAAATGGACATATCGGACGAAATGCTGCTTATGAAATCTCTGGAGCTAAGACCCCACAAGTGGCACCTGCAGCTACTGATGCAGAATCATATCAGCGATTTATGCAGGTAACTAACCTATTCTTAAATTACTAAGTATTAATATTGTAGTCGCGGTATACCATGTTTAGAATTATCATTTTAAACGGTATTTTCTCATCAGATCAATATACCATTTTCTTAAGTAAAGGCACCAGTACTGATTTGATCTGTTTATGAGACTTTTAATTAAAGTTACTCAAGCGTGTGCTACTATATCTATTATCCAAATTAGATACAAATCAGCGATTTGGAAGAACGTATTGACAACGTATCGCAAGAGTTTAGTGATATAGCACGAGAAGTTATTGATACTTCTTCATTAATGACGTCATTGGAGGAAGAACGAAATGCTCAAATTGATTACTTGAAGACCATACCAGAGTCAAGCTCAGCTTATAAGAAAAAATCGAGAGAATTGAAGGATACCACTGCTAAATTGGTCGATGCAAAATTGCGTTTACAAGCTGCATCGATTAAAAAGGAGCAACATCAAACTAAACTTGAAGAACTACAACAGCAATTAATGGAGAAAAATCAACAACTATCTAAGAAATCGTAAATATTAGTTGACTTTGTAGTTATTTCTTATTATAATATTTTAATTATTTGATTAAAGATGAATTAGCTTAGGACTATTGAACGATAGCTACTCATATGTAGCGATTTATTTCAACTAAATAGATCTAAAATTAGAAAGTCAACAGATAAATAGTTAAGCAAATACGTTTATTAAAAATTTTCTATTACAAAGTACATTTATGATAGCACACCATGGACAACATGTACTATTTAGTGCATGGATTAAGATAGCCAACCATTAGGCATCTTGAGCGTATTTGCAATTTTTTAATGCTAGTTTTATTGAGTAGCTTTATTTATAACCATTTTTTCAACATTAATGCTGTTTGATACTACCAGTCTTGTATTCAACATTATTTTTGCAATATTAACTGGTGGTAATATTGCATTTACCAATAATCATTTGCAATTTTTTTAACCAACTGTTTTAGATATCGTTTTTTTAAGTGTACTAAAGTAGAATTAAGGTACCTTGTTTAGATCAAATGTTTGTCGTATATTAAAAGATTAGATACAATTTTTATAATTATTATGGTATTGCATTTAAACTAGAAAAACATAATCTAGACGAAAAATGTCACTTACATTTGATGTATTATAGCATTAGTTGGCGTTTATCCAACTTTATTTTGTAATCCGACTTGGATAAGGTATATTACCATAATAGAAATGATGTTATTTTCCTTTTAGGATAATTTTTGTATTTTGTACGCAACATTCGTTTTTAATCATATCAATTAGCGTAGTATAAGATAAAAAATGACACAAGTCTTGCTGAACTGGTGATGAAAATATCAATGATTCCGTTCGCAAATGCAATTGGAGAGTTTCTTTGCCCGGTCTATTTGTTATTACATTCTAGATCATTTTTCATGGGCATTCAATCAATATCGAGTAAACAACACTTATGAAATGAATTGGTCTTGCAATTGCAGCTAATATCATTGATTTTAAAGATTTCAATCATTTTTCATATACATTAGATACAAATTATTTTTAACGGCATTCATTAATATCCAATAAAAAATTCTTACTTAATACTTAATGTATCGAATTGGTTGACACTTCTTCTTGAATCATCAATTACAGTTTACTATTTCTTCCAAATTGGTAATAGAATTATAGCATGATGAATTAACTATTTATTGATATCCAAATAGTTCTCAATAATCTTGAGATAGTATTAGGGCGAAAATATTGTAATCGATTTATGTTGATCATCAACTTAAATATTGGATATGTAAGAAGTACCACCTAAGATGTTTGCAATAACTGAACACTGAGTTAGCTAGGTGACGAATTTCCAACACAAATACATTATAATTCTTTGATTTTACTGCAAAATAAATGCGGTTTTAAATTTAGATTTCTATTATATTGGCACTACCATATCAGAATTTAATAAATAAATTCCATTCTACTTTCCCGAACGAAACTCCAGTAGAGCTCTAGGGTATATAGCGAGTAAAGTTTGAGTTTAATTTCTTATATCCCATTACTATTTAAGTATTGCAATATCAGAGTTCATTAGATTGATTATATACTACTTTCCTGACTAAACTTCGATCTCTACATTCAACTCATAGTGTATTGCTGTGCTAAGCTTCAAGAGAGCTCTATGTGATATAGGATAAATAAAGTTGGCGTCTAGATTCTCATCTTCTGTCACTTCATAGGTACTGCTATGTCAAAATTAGCTTAATTCCACGCTGCTTTTCTGAACTAATCTCCAACTCCTATATCATATGTAGTGAGCTCAGTTCGAGAATAGTTCTCTTATATTCTATTAAACTAATTATTATATCGCTATTTCCATATCAAAATTTGTGGTATTAATTCTGCACTACTTTCTAGAGTTAAACTCCAATCTCTATATGATATGTTATACAGTGAGCAAATTTTAAATTAACCTTCCCTATTCCATTAATATACCGACATTGCCATATCAAACTCCAATTTCTATGTGGCATTTAGTAGAATACGTATTGTTTGAGCTAGTGCATATTACATTATTATATATAGAGGCACTACCATATCAGACTGTATCAGATTAATTTTACTTTACTTTCCGTATCTAAACTCTGATAGGGTTCTATATGATATGCTCGTCTAGTTAGTGAAACTGAAATTAGTTTCTTGTATTCTATTATTAGACAGGTCTTTACTATATGGCTTTACTGGATTAATTCTATGCTATTTCCCTTAAATTAAACTTCAATTTCTATAAGATACATAGTGGGCACAATTCATGATAGTTCTTTCATATTCTATTGAATACATTAGTATTATCATATCAGAGTTTTACTAGATTAATTTTACGCTATTTCTCTGAACTAAACTTTAATCTCTAATCTGCATAGTTTCGGGTTAGTCTTGCACATTTTATTAAGGTAGCATATAAGCATTGCTATATCAGAATTGATCAAGTTAATTCGACTTACTTTCCTAACCTAGACTCTAATCTCTATACAGTATACAGTATATCGTTATAATTTAAAGCTAGCTTTTCATTTCTCCGTTAATATACATGAAGGTATTACCATTTCCGAATGAATTCGATTAATACGTCGCTATTTTCCAGAACTAAAACCTCAACTTTTACACAATATCCAGCATTATAGGCATCATTTGAAATTTATCTCCCATATTCTATTATTTTATTGCCTATTAGAGTAAAAATTTTATAATTTATTAAGTTAAATCTAGCTGTATGTTTTACTTCAGCTTAAAACTTTCAGTACAAGAAAGATCGATTTTAGCATACTCTTGCAAAATAGGTTAGATAAGGCTATAAGTTGCAGTGCTATAAAGGTTGAAGATGATTTTATACCTATTTTATACCTGCATCGATACAGCTTATAAACTTACCTAACCCACTTCAAAATATTTGTATATCGTACTTAAAGCTAAAAGTTTAAGTTGGCAAAACCTAGAAACAATACGTCAGTATTTCGTCATTTAATATTTATTTCTTTTCCCACGAGCTCAACTGAATTATTGATATGATCGTAATTTACAAAAAGGTTAGCGCCAATCAGCCAATATAATATTTTACTAAATTTTGGATAGACTGCATAATATGCAGCATCTATCAAGAGATTCACCATGAAATCGAGGGTTCCCATGAGATAATGACACATAATTTTCGTTGTCATGATACCAATTCCCAGATCAATGTGTCTAGACTAGTTATTATTTTTATTTTTCATCATGTTGACTAGGAGGCTACCTACCTATCTACCGATAGAATACTCGATTAAGATCCATTATTACAACATTTTAATCGGTGATTCATGTAGATTTGAGTATGTGAGACGACTATTTAATAAGTCTACTTACCGATTTGGGTGTGTAACAAGACGATTATATAATAAGTCTAGCTACGGATTTGAGTGTGTAAGACGATGGTTTTTTAAGTCTACAGTACTTATAGACTTGAGTTCGTAAAGTGACGATTTAATAAGTCTACCTGCCGATTCGAGTGTGCAAGACGATGATTTAATATGTCCACTTACAGATTTGAGTGTGTAAGGAGATAGATAGTTTAATAACTCTATTTGCAAATCGGAATGTAAAAGACGACGGTTTAATAAGTAGTCTAGCCTGATCCTAATCCTAAGTAACTGCTTACTACTTGCAGATTTGAGTGGGATAAGACTGTGGTTTAGCATTTCTACTTGCAGATTTGAGTGTGTAAGACGATGGTAAATAAATCTACTTATAGATTTTAGTGTATAATTAAACGATGGTTTAATAAATTTGCTTAAATATTAGACTCAGATTTGAGTACAAAACGATGATTTAATAAATTTATTTACAGATTTAAGCGTACAAGACGATGGTTCAATAATCTACTTATAAATTAGACTCAGATTTGACTACATAAGACGATGGTTTAATAAATTCGCTTACAGATTAGACTCAGGTTTGAGTGTGTAAGACAATGAATGGTTTAATAAATCTACTTACAGATTCAACTTCGCTTTGAGTGTATATGACGACGATTTAATAAGTCTACTTTACTATCTAGTCTGCCTAAACCCAAGAACTACTAGATACATCAGAAAGGTATATCTATAGAGGTAGCCCATGCCTAACCCTAATCTTAAATCTAGTTACAGATTTGTGTAGATAACAGGATAGCTTAATTAGGCTACCTACAAATTTGAGTGTGTAAGACGATGGCTTAATTAATCTACTTCTTGATTTGAGTGTAAAGTAATTAGTTAGATCGGATTATTTTTAAAAACTCTTATGGATTAATTGTCAATGAAAAATGGATGGAATGGACCAATTTTATATCGATCTTGTCGAGCTTTTATTATAATATTTATAGCTAAAGATTGGTCGACATCTTTCTTTGATTTCTTAATAAATACATGCATTAAAAAAAAATTCCCGCTTACATCATAGCAGGAAATCATTTAACGAAGAATTTTACGGCCGTATACATGATGGGAAATAGTTTAAAATGTTTCAAGAAATAGGTTACATTACAGCATCCATATTAGTGTTCTATTCGAATTGGGCTCAGGTTAGAATTTTAGGACAATTTAAAAGTTTGGGCGGGCTTTCGGTTGCAAAGTGTCCTCGAGCTAGTCACTACTGCAGACTAAATGAAGGGATTAATTCCCCCTAAAAGGAGAATCAAAATCGTTGAATTGGAGATCCTATGTGTAGTATGTTCGTGATTAGATACCCGTTGTCTATAACATCGCATTTTTGAGACGAGAATTTGGTCTCATTCTATCCTTAAAGAATTAATCTGTTTCATGTAACTTCTATCTGATTCTCCTAAACTACTGCACTCCATCGCCTGTGGTGATCTACAAATTCAAAAAGCTAACACTTTGCTACAACACAAGGTCAAATGAAAAAATTGGATAATGTTATTTATTCATTTATTTTTATTTTTTTATTGTTTCTTATACATAGAAAAAATGACAGCAAAGGATTCCTTTGTTATCCTTTCCTGTTTAT